CACACACACACACACACACCCAGTGACAGGACAACACCAAACATTCCCACTTCAACACCTCCTGAACGTTCCTCCTGCCCCTTAACCTTAAACTTACTGTGTAGCTCCGAGAAATCTTACAATGTAAAATTGTGTTTTTAAACAAACCAATACAGTAGTAATATGCTGATGATATTATAACAGAGTCCTGCAAGTGCAAATCAAAAAATACAACAGCAAATAAGACAACACATGGACAGTGAGGCCATCCAATCAGCGATGAGTCAATACCAGGTGCCCTTTAGAAGCTAATGTGGTCTTGTTTTGTAAATTGTTGAGTTTTGTTGTTTTTCTTATTTGCCCTTGTGTTATTTTCTTCTTTGTTGGGTTTTGCACTTATGTTTGTAATATTTAATGTTATACTCACTCAAAAATTCTGTTTAAGTTATTACCTGACATGTCTAAGCCTCTGTAGTTCAACATATGGAACATTTGAGAAAGTTCCTGTGCCCCTCTGTTCACATTTGGAGGACCCCTCCTTAGAAAAGTCAGAGTCCCACTTCACCTCTCCTCATTTTGCTGTTGTACTAATACTGTTGTACTAGCTTTAAGTTGTTGTGTAGTAAGTTGTTTAATTTGTGTGGGGGCTCACCTTATGTACACAAACAAAGGGAGGGATGAGGATCTTTGCAGTTTAAATAGATCGCAATTGATATGGCATGTGTGATGTCACATGATTAGAGCAGTACAGCTTCAGTTGACTGTGTGAACGCTGCATTCATGGTAGGGCTCTTTCATCATAACACAACACACACTACGCTAGACACCATCGGTTACAGCAGCACACAAGATAATCAAACAACAGGGAGCTACAACACCTCTGACTGCAGTCTGGAAGATCCACATTTAGTTCAGCCACACATGAGGTGTGTGTATACGTGTGTGTGTGTGCGTGTGTTGATGAGTATTAATTCAGTGGTTGTTGTCAGCGGCCCCAGGGGAGGGTGTAGTGACAGTAATCACTACGCCTCCGTGGGAGAAAGCCACTGGTGGTCCTCTCTAATTATCTTATTCTCTTAAGTGTGTGTGTGTGTGTGAGATAACTAACTCCGCTGTTGCACCAGCACTATCGCTCATTCAGACAAAGTCACACTAGTAGCTTTGTGCTATTAACTGCTGCAACATGCACATCTGGTTATTTCCTCTCTGAAGGACCCCTACCCTCCTCTTCCTCCTCCTCCTCCTCCTCTTGCTTGCGCCATCTTTTATCCTGCTTATGCATGAGTGTGTATGTGTGGTTCACAGTCCACACATGTGTGCGGTATAGGACTCATTAGCTCACTTCCTGGAGGTCCCGATCATTAATTTCCCATGATGCCGCGGTGCTCCTGTGTGGCTAATTTGTCCCTGGTGTGCTAGCGCTCCCTCAGCAAACGTGAAGTACCAGTAACTCTGCGGGGGGACTCGCTCGCTCGCTCATTTTGATTGATCAACAGGACCAGACAGTCGCTAACAAAGTTTGTTAGAGAGCCAGAGGTTAATAAAGCTTTGTGAAAATTCATTTTATCCTAACTTTCAATTTGGCAATGTGTTGAGAACAGTTTAAATATTCAGTGGCCCCGGAGCTAACTGTCGCACACTATTTGAGATTGACCACTTCCCCCCCCTGACTTGGAGAAAACTGCAGAGAAAAGTGTTTTCATTTGCCTCCTGGAGCCCCCACTGAGCGCTACAGTTAAGATGCACTCATTTAAAAGCCGTGTTTATTGCACAGCTGATGAATTCTGCACATACTAATGGTCGTTTTAAACTAAACAGGCAGAAAAAGAAATCCCAGAAACAACTTTCCTCTCCTTGTCATCCTCTGCCTCGAACCTCCTCTCTCTCTCTAGTTTCAGCTCCTGCATGTCAGCTATTCATCATCATCAGCACTCGCTCCAAAATCTTTTCCCTCTTTGTTCCTCACTCTCTATCCATCATCCGTGCTAATCTTTGCTCTCATTGATCTTCTCATTACTGGTCGAATATGGTTTTTTTTCCTTCCCCATCTCCTGGCACTGTTTATCTTAGTAAACATTCTCTGTTATAGTCACATCAGAGGAAATCTGCATTGAATTACATCATAATTTACATAAACTGCTCCTCTGTAGCTTTGTGACAAAATGTGCCAGTAGTTTAGGATTGGTGGGAAAGGATCTGAAGGTGTTAAGAGTTCAATATGAGATAGTCACCCCCTGTCCATTTGTTTGTTTGTAGACAAGATGATGCAAAAACTACAAAATCAATCTCCACGAAACTTGGATGATGCAGAATGGGTCAGGAAAGAACATCCAGGATCCTTTTACTTTCTTTAACATTGTGAGATTTCCAAAATTGTTCTTGATTTCTCAGAGAATAATTCATGGATGAAAAAAATCAAGCATTGGTGATATCGATGTGTTTGAAGTGTGTGTAGGTTGGTGCAGATCCAAATAAAAATCTGAATCCAGTGAATTTAAATGTTAGAGAAGACTGTCGGGGCTTGGTAGGAAAATCTTGAATTTATTATAATACAACTTTTCCCTCCTTCGTTGAGGTATAATCTCTCCTGAAATTACCCAAACTGTTGTAACTTTCGCAGAAGATTGCCTGCTCATGAGAGAGTGCTGCTGATACTGTAGAAGGATTTTTAGATCCATTAAAAACAACTCTGTATTGATTCAATCCAGTTTTCTGTAACATGTTGAAAGGAAGAATTGATTTATGTCACTAATCTATATTTCATATCTTATGAAGTGTAAGGTCCACTGAAACAACAATTGAAGGTATTGAAGGAATGTTGAGACTTTTCCTTACTGTTGTTTCCTTGCTGTTTCCTCCTCTCCTCTCCTTTCCTCTCCTCTCCATCACTTCCTCTCCTCTCCGTTGCTTTTGTACAGTAGTGTCAGTAGCCTCTTAATCCTGTTATCTCCTCATATACAGGCTGACATCGAGCCACTCGCCAGAGCTGTAATCAACTCTTGTACACACACACACACACACACACACACACACACACAGCACAAACACACAAACTCCCCTAGTTATATCACTTTTTCAAACACACACTCACAAACACACACACACACACACACTGGGACTGGCCCCATTCTCCATCTACTCTGTAATCCTGCTATTTGTGGTCTCTTACTATTTTGATCGGCATTATGCCTTCATGTTACACACACACACACACACACACACACACACAGACACACACATACACACTCACACACACATGGACTCACACATCTCAGCCTATCCATCACTCATCATCCAGACGCTGCTTCCTCCCATAACACATCTTGTCTTTTCCCTCTCACTCACTTTTACTCAGCTCCACATGTTCTCGTTCATCTGTTTGCCTCCGTACATTTCTCTCTCTGGCGGCTGCAACATTAAGATTCATCTGAACTTAATCATATCAGTCACGATTAACTTTTAATTTTTCTATCCACAATGGTTTCTATGAACACATTTACATTAGCCCCGATACACAACTTTCTCCTCTGCTTTATGTTTGTCACTGTGCACTTTCTGGAGCTGCTCTCCTCCCCTGCTTTTCTTCTGCACGCCTATTAAATGGGGTCGTCACTTTACTTGTATGAGTTTCTCATTCTCACCTCTTCCCTTTTGTAAAAGTACACTGTGTGCAGCTCTTTTCTTGTGTGTGTACCACCGTTTTTTTCCCTCCCCCTTTCTCTTGCTGTGTCTCACTTCCGTAATTACAGCTCTGGACTCAAGCAGTGATGGTAAATGCTTTTCTATTCCCCTCTCTCCATCACTCTCCCGCAATCTCCATCGCTCCCTCTTTCTCACCAAGCAAATTACATCTTGGTTACTATAGAGACGTGTTTATTGAATGCTTTTTGCCGCTCTTTCATGCTTCCCCCTGAAGCCCCCTTTGCCTTCCCCACGCTCTTTTTTTCTCAGCTCCACCTGTCTTTCTTTGTTTACTGTTCTCTCTCACCCTTGTGTATCGATGGTCATCATCCTTCATTTCATTTCTCTCTTTTGTCGTCTGCGGTGTCACTTCCACTTCTTTTGGTGAATAATAGTTGTATGTTGGATAGATTTTCAATGCAGTAGTTAGGGCTATTGTTGCTGCCATGTACTACATTTAAGCAGATAAACAAGGCATGGTGTCTTATATTATTCATATGGCATGTGCTATCCATTATTATTGACTGTGCAAGTGGCCCCGACTGAATACAACAATCAGTGATGTGAGCAGTCAGATTGCGTCTCCTCTTCCTCCTCATCATCACAGATACAGTCTCCAATCTCCACAGGTTATTCTCTTTTTCTGCTTGTTCTCTCCCCTTTTCAAAGCAGCCTGTTCTCTCTATGTTCTGTTGCATTATATGTTGAATATAATATGTCCATCACCCTGCCAGAAAGCTGTTTGAAGGCTTCCGTCTAATGCTTGCACAGTTTCTATTCTTGGCAGCCGAAAAGCTACCTTAAATCAGAATATTTGACTGTCAGGATAAAGGTAAAGGTTGAATATTAGTGGGGGACTTGCACAAGTAGAAAAGAGGTCTTAAGTGGAATGACTCAGTAATACTAATGATATTTTACCAAAGTGCTCTGACATTAGCTACTGGTCATATACCAGACCAAGTCAAGAGAAAGATTGTGAAATAACAT